CTGCATTCCCTGCAAACGTGGTCTACAATCTTTTACCTTTCTTGACAGATAATCTTGCATTTGGATGTATTAAAACATACACTTCACAGGGCAAATGGAAGTTTTTAGAACTGATACACACAACTCATACCTTGACAGGATGACTTGGTTTTCAGTGAGAGTAATTTTCCACCAGATATCATCTCCCTCCTAAGTATCACTTTTGATTGTGGTAAAAAAAGTTTAGTGTTAACAACAAGTCACATAAACCTCGTTAGGAAAATATAAGACATGCTATATTGCCATGTGTTCTGGTAAAAGGTAAAGATTTTACTAAAGAAGATAAAGATGATACTAATCATAGAATCACAGAATGATCTGGGTTGGAAATGACCTTACAGATCATCCAGTCCCATCCCTCTGCCCTGGGCAGGGACACCTTTCCCTTGCCCAGGTTGCTCAAAGCCCCATCCAACCTGGCCTTGATCATTCCCAGAGATGAAGCATTCACAACTTCTCTGAGAAACTTGTTCCCATGCCTCACCACCTACTGAGAAAAGAATTCCTTCCTAACACCTAATCTCTCCTCTTTTAGTCTAAAACCATTCCCCTTCCCTTGTTCTATCACTACAGGCCTCTGTAAAAAGTCCCTCTTTCTTCAAGAAACGAAATGTGTAAACATCTGAGAACACTTTAACCAAATACAACTAGAAATTTTATTTTTTTTTCAGGCAAGCAGAGATTAAAATTCCAGGACTCTCCCTACCTCATGTTTAAAGCTGAAAGTGAGGAGACACTGAGAGGAGAGAAACAGACCCTCTGAAGAGAAAAGTTCAACAAATGACCTAGAGGAAACCTAACCTAAAGGAAACTCCAACCTAAAGGAAACTCCAGCCTAAAGGAAACTCCAGCCTAAAGGAAACTCCAGCCTAAAGAAAAGGCTCTTACACCCCCTAACAGAAGGAATGTATTTACACAACCTGGTCTACAGTAGTTCCATCATCATAAAAAACTGTGCCTTTGAATTTAGATGTGAAAAGTGAGGATTCTAAACATACCTTCCTATAATTTCTGAGATACTGATATTTTCCTTCTGCTCTAACTGGATGGTCGTGCTCTGAAGCTCTTCTCAGCCTGTGCTGGAGGTACAACTTTCCAAATCTACAATTGAAATACGTGTCAGTATGGAATCTTAGCTAAAAATAACATTAGCTATCTATATTTAATGTTGGGATGAAAAAACTGTCTATTTAGGGTACAGCCTGTTGTCTCAAAGATGTCAACAGTAATATTATTTGAAGTGGAATGTCTTATTTAATATTTAATAGCATGTATAATGAAACTCCTGGAAAAACATTGAAATTTCAGAGAAGTATGAAATGCCCATCATCATTCCACCGTTATTTCAGATTTGTGATTGATGGTATCACCTATACCTAAGAATACATTACCTGACTTAGCTTTACCAAGGAATTAAACAATATTCAGCTATTTCAATATATCATATATTACAGTGAACCTAAATTTCAACTTGTGTCAATAGGACTCAAAAAATTCACGTGAAATAATCATTTACATCAACATAAAGAGGATGCTTGATGAAAATCAAGTCCAGAACAGTCCAATCTTTCACAAGTCAGTGTAGTAGTAATTTAGCTGAGCCAGAAATTGCATTTTTTATTCTACCAGCCAAGTTTCAGACTCATCACAAATGAAATCCTTTTACTGATTTGAATATCCAAGTTAAGGTTTTTTCCTGAAGGGATAAGCCAGAGGTCAAAGAAGTTGAAACTTAAAACTGTTTTCCATTTGGTTTTAATATATAAAACTAGCAAACCAATGATCTTTAATGATAAAAAGTAAACCCAAAGTTAAATTCAAGTCATCTTAACTTACTAAAAGAGCAGTTATGTCACATGTTCCATTACCTAGTGCAGCATCCAAATAGGAAGCTGGAGTTCGGGTAAGTCTTTTCTAAACTCATACTTACCTAAGGAAAATAAATGATCACCAGCAAAGGAGAATATTTCACAAGACACAATATCCCTTTGTGATGGGTTAATTATCATCCCATCAACACCTCAGAGTTGTACTGGATCTATGCACAGAGGTTATGGTTGCAAGAAGAAACTCAGATGACCAAGTCCAAACCTGATTCCTTGATTGCAGTGTCCAAGTGTCAACAGTGATCTTTGAAGTGCCTTATTTTTACCCCAAGATACATTTCTTATTCAGAATCCTCGAATACTAAAACAACCACATGATCAGAAGTAAATACTTTTTTTTAAAAAGTTCAGAGCCTATTTACAAACTCCTGGAAAGAACATGACATACAGGTGTCACTTTACTTAGGAATTAGCTCTCGGCCCATAGGCATCCATGCAACAAGTCAGTTTGGATACGAACACATACATAACATGAATTCTTAGACTAGCTGAAACTTTCTCTAGACCAAACCAGACATCAGAATTAGGTGTGTGAAATCCACCCCCATAAAAACATTGTCTGTCTCAATTAGCCACTGAATTTAGACTGTTATGGCAAGGGTTTGATTTTAATCTAAAGGGAGTGCTACAAATACATCAAACCTGCAATTTTTATAAACTTTGGGTTTGATGCTCTTTTCCAAAAAATGTCTTTTTTTTGCATAATTAGTGACATCCACTTATATATATTTATCTTGCATTTTGATGCTCTACATTACATCCTAATTAAAAAGAAGCACAAAGGTAAGAAGCACGTTTTCTAACAGTCTTTTTTTTTTTTTTGTCAGTCTGATACACTGTCCAGACTTCTAGAAAACAAAATTTAAGGAAACTATACAATTATCTAATCATGCATTTTGTTTTAGGCTTTAATAGCAGCTCTTAGCTTGGCCGACCTTCCTCTTGGGTTTGTTTGAATATCCTTGGCCTGGGGTGTGAGAACCTTTTTCTGTATAAAAATCCACTTTGAGTTGGATTTTCCGTGGGGAGATTCTTGTGCATCTTCTTTGTTGGAGGGATTTTTCAGAGCCTGTCTTATCTTCTGCCTTGAGCCAAGATTGTACTTTTGGGTCATGTCTATTCCATGAAGGAAACGTTTGATAACTCGATCTTCGAGGGAATGGAAGGAGAGGGCCACGAGGCGACCTCCAGGCTTCAGAAATTTCTCAGCTGTCTTCAGTCCTATGAAGAGTTCGTGGAGCTCATCATTTACAAATATGCGCAGACCTTGAAAAGTTTTGGTAGCAACGTGTGAAGGTCTCTGAAGCAAATCCCTGCGTGCATAGAGTGCTGAGGCTGGAAAAGCACCTGTGACAAATTTACAAAGGTGTATGTTAATATCTTCATATTTCATACAATCAACCGGGTTGAAAAAGACCTCCAAGACCATCCAGTCCAACCTTCCCGTGGTCACCAGACCATGGCACCAAGTGGCACATCCAGTCTCAGCTTGAAAACCTCCAGGGATGGGGAATCCACCACCTCCCTGGGCAGCACATTCCAATGTCTGATCACTCTCTCTGGAAAAAATCTCTTCCTAATATCCAACCTAACCCTCCCCTGGCAGAGCTTGAGTCTGAGCCCTCTTGTCCTGCTGCTGCTTTTCCACAGGCCTCTACAGCAGAAGGTCTGAGTCTGTCAGATCAAAATTCACCACATTAAATATCTTTTATTAGACGAACAAAGCTCCTGGTTCCTATCCCCAAAATTCTTATGAATTAATCAAGTCTCTGTAGAAACTAAAATTTTGATATAAACTTTGATATATCAATATTTAACATATTTTAGGCTTGAACTCTAATTACCTGAGTACAGAGTACAAAGCCAGAGAAGGCTGATTTGATGGATCAGAGGGACTAAAGTGCAAGAATCTACAAGATCTGTGAAACCTGAGTAAACTTATAATCTATTATAGAAGTGAGTGCAGGAGCCTGGTAAAGATAAACTGAATGAATAAAAGCAGCACATAACTGGAAAGACTTATTTTCTCAAACTTTTCAGCTTCATGCAACCAAAACCCTATCAACTGAAACCAATATCAAACCACTCAAGTTCCAAAACTTACTGTCTGTCATCAGAGACTGGTATCAGCTGAGAAATGTGATGTGTGGTAGTTTTTTCTGTCACACTGACCTTCATCTTTTTAGTGAAGGCACAGGATTATGATCTATGTTCCATGAGTGAATTTTTTTTCTATCACTTACTCCTCTGGCATACTGAAATAAAAACCTATTTGTGCTTTCTATTAAGGCACAAAATCTCTCACCCAACTCCCTCCAATTACCAAGATACTAACAGAAAATCCTTCCTGGTAACTGGATGTACAATGTATAAAAACATAAAAAAACATCAGTATGGGAAGCTTGTAAAATGAATTTCATTCATAAAAACACCACGCTCCTGGCTAGATGACTGGCTTGAAATCCCAGGGAGAGAAATTATCATTTTTAGTTTTAGGATGCCCTGATGCTGCTTAAACTTTTAAAAATCTAATAGATTCACATGTTGAAATGTATTGAAATTTTAAAGCTTGTGAATGAAATTAGCGACGTGCTGTGCCTGTCAATATGAACTATTAAAGTCCCCAGAGTGTTTGAGAGTGGGAGAGTTTAAAAATTAATTCAGATGGTGCACCTGTTTGCAAGAATCTGTCTGTTGAATTAGCATTGCATTTAATAAGTTTCTGTGACGCAACTAATGTCCTTTTGTCTAGGCTCCTGCAGTACAGTGTTAATTCTCACCCATCTGAAATTCAGGCAACATTACCAATTCCAAACTGATAATTAAAGTCTATAAATGTGAATCAATTTGAATGAGATTGACTTTACCCATTAAAGTTTTTTAGAAACTTTTCAAATTTCTTGAATATCTCATCATCGAATCTGTGGTGGTTTAACCCCAGCAGCAACCAAGGGCCACACAGCAACTCCCACACTGCCCCAGCAATGGGTGGGGAGAGAATCAGAAGGGTAAAACTAGAAAAACTCATGGGTGGAGATAAAGACAGTTTGTTATTCTAATTAATATTTTATTTATTTAAAGGACTTGACATTTAACTAATAGATCAGAAATTTTACTCTGATAAAAGTCCTGAATTAATCTGGTTTTTTTTTTTCCTTTAGATATAACCAGTTCAAAACCCAATAGGATCCACCATTGTGCTTCTTAACTGGATGAATCAAACTGAAATTGGAAGAGTTCAATGCAAACAGGGATCAGAGTAACAGCCCTAAAATTGTCTAAACTACTTGCATACTCCAAAAAAAGCCCACAAAACATACATATTTATTGCCTTGGCAGATATGTGCTGGATTCATTGTTCTTGGCATGTACACCACCTGATGCATACCTGACTCATGTATCAAGAAGCTCTTCAAATAGAGCTGAGAATTTAAAGTGAGAACAAAAAAATCCTTCCCATTGTCACAGAAAGTGACCATTAAGTGATGACTCACAGGCAGCACACAAAACATGAAGGGATCTTCAATCACTGTCTTTGATACACTAGTATTTTTATTTTTTTAGTTCAATCTATGGCATAAAATTATTTCAGAGGTTACTGAGTTGGTTTCCAGCACATAATACTTTACATCTTTAGCACAGTGATATGGAGTGGATTGGTGTCTTAATCAACAGCTTGTTGAACAGTTTAAGATATACGTGATAAAACCCCAAATTGTTGTTTTGTGACGTTGGTAATGATGATATTAAAAATGTAATTTCTATCTCTTGGGGTTGCTTTATCTCTTTGGGGTTTTTATGGTGGCGTGTTCCTCATAGTCACTCTACAGCAGGGGCTTAAAAGAGTCTCCAGCTCCTTTTATCACATCAGCTAAACTTTGGGCCTTGGTTGACTGGACATTTTGCTCAAGTATTCCAACTTCTACAAGTCCAAACCTTTTCATTTGTTGGCCATTCAAAGTAAGTGCCTTAAACTTCCAGTTTAAGTAGCACAAAGTTTAAAGAATACAATATAGTTTTTAAGATTGTTCAGGATGTTGATAAAACATTTTACACTGTTCTTTAGCAGAGGTCAAAAGGGGATTGTCATTTTAAAGGTCAATATTCACAAGAGTCAGCAGTTTGGACTTATTTGTGATGAGACCCAGTGGTTTTCATTACCTGGTTAAAATCAGTAACAACATCCTGGCATTATGTATTAGAATGTCAATAACCAGGATCTGTGTGTTGTATTTTTCCTTGAAAATTTTCTCCTGAGAACACAAACCTGAAGGTTCTCGGTGTAAGCACAGCTCCTGCATTTTGTTCAAGCTGTTTACAGGGAGGAGCAAGTAAGATGAAGTGTTTCAATAGTTGCTCCAGGCTGCTCTAGTTGGCATGCACAGGGAGAAACAAGCCATGTATTGCTTCACTTTGTGCTTCTTGAGTCTTGAAAATGACAGAAACGATCTGATTTAACTCATCATTTCAAACTGCCTTTGTACCTCCCCTTGAAATCATAAAATACAGGAATTAAAAACTTGGAGAGGTATATGACACATCTGATATCTGAAGGCTTATCAATAGGTGGGTTCAAGAATACCCTAGGCTGCTCTCAGTCTGTGGTTTAAACTTGGTTGGCAAAATGAGAAATGACCTCATGCAAAATCTATTATTAAACTAATCGTCGAAGTACAATACAAAAAAGGGGAGCGTACAAGGGAAAAAAAAAAAAAGAGAGAGCTGACAACAGAGCAGAATGGGCAGGATTAGATCCTGCACGATTTCAAGTACAAATAGATCCCTCTGGGACTTTGGGGGATTAATATTTTTTTTCTCCTCAGCCACGGTGAAGAATTAATGAGGGTACCTGCCACGATGCTGGCGAGCTGCTGAGTTCTGGTGATGGGGTATATGCTGCGTGCCTGAACGATGGCTGAGGCGATTTTCCTGGCGTGTCTCTCCTCCCCATATGTCCTCAGGATGGACGCAAGAGCCTGTTGATCTAAGGCATTCACAACATCAGCAGCAGTGGGCATGGCAGGGTACCTACGCACGAGAGCAGCCAATTAGTGCCCTGACGTCAGTTTGCATTGACAAGAGGTGAAGCTTCAGAGCATCGAGACACAAAGTCACACACACACACTGCATACGAGTGCTTTGAGGTTTTCACAGGGATGGGAACCCTAGGAAAAGAGAGCTGGCACCTTTGAAATCCTTTTTCTTGCTACTCGAAATGGAGTTTGTTCCTTAACTTCAATTAGAGCAGCTTTAACTTCCAAGCATTACCATAAACTATGCTTAATCAGGTGATGGGGAGAAGTGCATTTCAGTGTGGTGCTAAGATGGAAATGCTGGGTGACCTTTTCATTCAGCCAGCTTTAGAATATCAACTTGCCTCTTATGGGTTCATTTTAGTCACCCTGCACTGTGTGTTGTTCTGTTAGTCAGAATGATTTCAAGGATCTTTTCTTCCACATCTCCTGCTACGAAAACAATTGCTCGTGAAAATAATTTAGCTTTACTTTTCAATAAAAGGCATAAGAATTTATATCCAAAGACTGTTCTGAGAGAATAGGAATGACTTAATAATGCAAATGACAGGAATTATTACAATTTAAACAGTATAAGCCTTAGATCTGTATTTCTAAATCTGTGTCACTTTGCTATTGAAATAGTTCCGAGGTATTTTATGAACATCATCTATGGGTTTACTAATTGCAGAAAACACAACCTACTTAATAAATTCGCTTCTAAAAAGACATGACTTAGCAGAATATCTTTCAGGCATTTTTTACTCCTTTGCAGTATCTTACAAAAGGTAACAAAACTTAGAAGTAGTATCATAGCAACAACCACAGTGTAAAGGCTTTTGTTAAGCCACAGGTATCCTTTGTTCTTATGCTCTTGCTCCATGTATGTTTTCTCATGATGCATCAGGTTTATATTTCAGCCCAGAATCCAGATTCTTGAAATCTCAGGGGCATTTTGCACAGAACTGGAAAAAAACAAGTGTCATAAATCATCACAGAATCAACCAGGTTGGAAAAGACCTCCAAGATCATCCAGTCCAACCCTACTGTGGTCACCAGACCATGGCACTAAGTGCCACATCCAGTCTCAGCTTGAAAACCTCCAGGGATGGGGAATCCACCACCTCCCTGGGCAGCACATTCCAATGCCTGAGCACTCTCTCTGGAAAAAATCTCTTCCTAATATCCAACCTAACCCTCCCCTGGCAGAGCTTGAGTCTGTGCCCTCTTGTCCTGTACAGTCAACAAAAATGTAACTGGTTTAATTACTCATTACTGGAACTTTTTTCTTGTTTCAAAGAAGGCAAAGACAATAACCATAGGTGAGCACTGAGGAAAAAGTTTTTTGGCAAAAGGAAGACAATATACTCATGCAGAATTAGATGTGGTTTGTTGATGAGAATTCTTCAGCTTGAAGGGAAATGAAATGCACAGGAGTGCTGAGCACACAGTTTTTGAGTTTCACAAAGAAACACTTTATTACCTGTCACTATCCATCCTCATGTCCAAAGGTCCATCCTTGTGCAGGGAAAAACCTCTTTCAGGTGTGTCAAATTGCATAGAGGAACAACCAGCATCCAGGAGAACTCCATCCAGAGTCCCTGGCTGAACTCCAGATTCCATCAACAAAGCCTCTGACTGGCTAAACTGCCCGAGAAGAGGATGAAGCTGTTTCCTGTAAGAAAACAACAAATAAATAGCCTCAAGCTTAATCCTAACAATGATCTCTGAGGTGCCCAATGCTTTCTTGATTGTCCAAACCTGGACTTTGATTCTCCCTTATATATAAAGTGACTTACAGTTACAAATCTCAATGAATTTCACAGCCTTAGAAAGATTAACCAACACTTTGCTGCATTCTTAAGCATCACCTACAAAACACAACACATTTCTGCCCCTCTGCAGGAAGCCACTGCCTCCTCTGGAGAGAAAAAGCTCTGTTAAAAGGAAGACATCAGGAGTCCAACCATATGGAAGAACATTCAGCTCCACAATGGTACCATCATTAGAGCAGAACAAATCCACCACTGGAACACAGCACAAACCCCAGGAAACAGCATGAATGAACCCAATCCATGAGGAATATCATGATCACACACACATAATTATGAACTGATTACTGTCCAGCATAGAACTGAATACACCTACTCATCTTAATAAGAACTGACAGTTCCTGAACAGCACCATGATCCACTTAAGATACTTAAACCAATTTAACCTATAGAGTTATAGCTTTTAGATTTATTTTTCCCCTCAGTATAATGAGAGGAACCTTCTTGAAAATCTGTACCACTTTTTCCAGCTGGGCAGTGTTTCTAACTTTATGACTCATGCAAATGAATGAACTATAAATTCCATATGTGGGAGATGAAAATAAATGAGACCTGGAAAAATTATACAATTCTAAATTGCCATTGTCTGGTTTCCCAGTAGACAGAAATCCATGTCAGCAGCTCTGAACTAATGCTCTACTGTGCTACCAACCTACCTGAAATATTACTCTGAACAATACATATTTACTGCTAGAAACTTTATTACATTTCCATAAACAAGTCCTAAGTATGTAGATAGCTAAGATTTTTGGGACAGCCTTTGATTTGTGGTCTGCCAAACCTTTATGATTAGGAAAAGTTAATTTAAAAACAAAAGTATATTTGAAATCAGTTGAAATTTACTCTTTGGTAGAGAGATGCTTCAGCTGGAAAATGTTTTGGAGTTTGCAAATAAAAAAAGATGGAAAAATAATTAGATTGACATTTGGATGTCAGCCCTTCAGCTGTGTGAAATTATAGCTTCTGTATACAATGTGTGTGTACCAACAGAGGATATAGGTGTCCTGGAGAACATAAATCCTTACTACAACCAGATGCTTTTTATGAGCTTATAATGACTCTATTACAATGTTCAGGCCAGTTCTCTGAGTTCCTGTTTCTCTGTGGAACAGAAGACACAAATTTAAGCATCTTGGCTATCTCCTATATTGCAATTAATCAAACCAAGTACACAGCTATGAAAGATTTATTACCTTATGAAAGGAAATATAAAAATCAACTCTTTTCAATAGGATAGTAACAGTGATGATAATGTTGACAAGGACTAATCTATTAGATTACAAACATGACATATTTATTTAGAGAACAATATTTTACCAAGCATTCAGAAGACTTATTAGAACATAAGAAGACTCTAGTCTACCATTCTTTATGCCATGTTCAAATAAATCCTGCCTGTTACACAGATGATTTTCTCTCAAACTCCTTTTGCCTTCAGATTTTTAATTACATCATCTGTAAATAAATAATAAACTGGTAAATAATAAACTACATTGAAAATGTTTATTTTCTCCAGTCACATCCTTTCTGCCCTACCCAGGTATGCAGGATTCTTTCCACTTTTTTTATCTCAGTGCTTCCATGTTTTCTTTGGGCATTAGAGTATTTATGTTCCATGACAATACCTACCTAGTGTGAAAATCTATTAGTCTTTCTGGCTTAATATATTGCAAAAACAGTGCTTAGTGGAAAAAGCAGGAAAGGTAAGGCAGGGAACATCCCTAAATACCAAATGAACAGCCAAGCTTATAATTTAAAGCAGCCTGAGAAGAGAGAACACATCAAAACATTACAGCCCAAGAGCAATTTTCAGCAGGTCTTGGTGACACCTTTGAAAGCTGTTAAGATTACAAAAGGGTCATATAGAGAGCATTGTAATCATTTTAGGCAACCTTTGAAGGTTCAAATCTAATTACACCCAATTGTCTTGCTGAAGAGAAAATATTTAAACTTGGCAGTTGGACAGCACTTTGCATATTCAGAGTATTTTAGAAACATAAAACAGCTGGGAAGAGCTTTTAGCTCCACTCTTACAATTGGAGAAATAAGATTTGCAGGGTCTAATACTTAAGGTAGGAAGCTAAGACAATTTCAGAGATTATAGTCTGTGTGGAGACCTCAGAGCAACTTTTTCATGTCTGAAGGGGCTACAAGGAGCCAGAGAGGGACTCTGTGTTAGGAACTGCAGAGACAGGACAAGGGAAAATGGGTTCAAACTGAAGGAGGGCAGGGAGGGTTGGGACTAGATGATCTGTAAGGTCCATTCCAACCTCTAAATTCTAGGATTCTATGATCTAGAAAAGCAGAAATTACCTGTCATATTAGCTCTCATCAGGTGTATGGGGTAATAGCATGGTAATTTTCCCATAAATTCTCAACTGTTAACTTCTCAAAACATTCATCATGCTCACCCTTTATCAATCTTGACATTCTATGAGAAGAAAAATAACAATATTCCAAAAGATCACTGGGAACATGGACAATCTAGCCAATTTAAAAAAGAATCAAAAGTTCTTTCACTTGCTACATAAGTTGTTGGGGCCTTAACAGATTTTCTTGTGCAACAACTTCAAGAGCTTGCAGAATTCTTGGAAAAAAACACAGTTGGAAAAGAATACAGAACCTTGGGTTCAGGACCCTTTGTTCAGGTCATAACACAGCATTTTATTATATTATGCTATGACACATAGCACAGTAATTCTGCTAGACAGTACTCAATCCACACTTCTCAATGATATGAAAGAGCAGAAAAAAGAGTTCATCCTGAAGTATTTCAGGCTCTACAGCTTTCAGTTAATCCCTGGTATTCTACAATGCTTTATAAAAATATTTCTTTTTGATTTTGCTCAGCTGAGAGGGATGCACACAGGAAAACAATACAGCATGAACATAGCTTCTGCAAAATAAACAACCTTTCCTCTCATCCAGCTTCTCTCTGTTGCCACAGACATTGATGAGACATAAATCATTCAATCAGGCTCTACAGCTTTCAGTTAATCCCTGGTATTCTACAATGCTTTATAAAAATATTTCTTTTTGATTTTGCTCAGCTGAGAGGGATGCACACAGGAAAACAATACAGCATGAACATAGCTTCTGCAAAATAAACAACCTTTCCTCTCATCCAGCTTCTCTCTGTTGCCACAGACATTGATGAGACATAAATCATTCAAGTAATTCACAGAAATGTATGACTGTGCTTTCATGGTGCTTCAGCATTTTTTATGTGTATATAATAATACTTGTTCTTGATCTTTCACCACTGTTCCACATAGAAATTCTGTGTGTGAATGCACAGAAAGTCATGATGATCCCCTGTCAACAGTGAGAATTATCTTTTACTCAACCAGAACAAATGGTTTCTTCAACAGAAGTAGGGGGAAAAAAAAACAGTGTATCAGCTAACTCTTGCCAGTGCACACCAAAGGAGACCAACCTGGGGCTTTGTTTGATGCAGCAGCTCACTGAGACTTCGACCAGGGGTGCCAAGTAGCACCAGCTGTAATGAGGATGTTGGTACAGACCTGGTTTGATGCCACTGACTCACCTCACCCAGGTCACTGGGCACCGGAGAGAGCTGTGACTCTCACTCACTCACTAACCTAAACTTCCCCTCCTTCAGTTTGAACCCATTTCCCCTTGTCCTGTCCCTGCAGTTCCTAACACAGAGTCCCTCTCTGGCTCCTTGTAGCCCCTTCAGACATTGAAAAGTTGCTCTGAGGTCTCCACACAACCTTCTCTTCTCCAGGCTGAACAGCCTCAACTCCCTCAGCCTGTGCTCACAGGGAGATGCTCCAGTGCTCTTAACATCTTCGTGGCCTCCTCTGGATTTGGTACAACAGTTCCATGTCCTTCTTGTGTTGAGGCCACCAGAACTGTACACAGTACTCCAGGTTGGGGTTTCAGCAGAGCAGAGCAGAGGGGAAGAGGTGATTTTCCCCCTCTACTCTGCCCTGGTGAGACTCCACCTGGAAGAAGTGAGAGCTCTTATTATGAGATGAAAGTATAACAAACCCCCAGACTTGTTTTGCATACAAAAAAGGAGGACAAGAGTACATGTTAATATTCTACAATGAGTATTTTAAACGCCGAGGAGAGAAAAGAGCTTAATAGATATTAATCAACTATCAGTTAATTTTATTCAACTAAAATGAAATTAGGTAACTACTTTAACTGGAAATTTAAAGAAAGTTTCATATCATGAAAAATTAGACTCTGGAATAGCTGGAGCACTGCATATAGAACTCCTAATTACTTTTAGGACAGAGCACAGTGAAGGAGATTAAATTCTGCAGTGGTTTGTAGGACCAGGCAATTGGACTCAGAGCTATCGAAGTCTCTCACAGCATGTTTATACTTGAACAGCTATTGTAATTCTCATTGAAAAGTTCACCCCGAAAATGTTTACTTAAACTTATCAAGACATATACACACTACACATTTCACATGTGTATAAACATACTCCAAGCTAAGAATAACTTACCCCTTAGGTATAAACGATTCATTTTATTTTTAGAAAAATCTAAACTGAATGCATAAACACAACACAGGCACTGAACACGCTTCTTTCTCTTCATTTTTCCCCAAATTGATTACCAGGGATTTTTTTTACCAAATATAACACCAGGATTGACTGGAAAATGTTATTTTCTGATAGCAAACTTAAACGAGACACTGCTCTCAGAGAAAATGACTTTTAGCTTCTTTTTAATTCAGAAGAAGAGAGGGCAACTCCCAAACCCTTTTGCTGATCCCAAGGTCAACAACTTTTGATCATTACTAGAGGAAAAGTTCCATGTCTGTTTTTAAATAGAGAGCAGTAGAATAGTTTAAAGGCATTAAC